GGAACCGTCATCGACAACCGCTAAAGTAAGCACAGCTAGTCAACCTACCTACACTGAAAGTTCCAATGAGGAATCCTCGACCCAGAGTACTCAGAGCACAAAAGACCTCAGCACGACTTCCAGCACTTTAATGTTTGACAGCACAACAACAGTGTCAGCTATGGTACTTGAGGAAAGTGCGTCTTCCACGGAATCATCCACTGAAACTCCAGCTGCCAGTAGCCCTACCGAGTCCACAACGCCCACCAACTCCAGCAACGCAAGTACATCGCACTTGGCATCCACCCCAATTAGTTCCATAACTGGGTTTAGTTCCACAACAGCGTCTAGTTCATGGCCGACAACTGCGCCCACTACAACTGCCTCAACTACTTCTACAACAGTTTCCTTAGCAAGTTCCCCACACACTTTAAGTTCGACTACCAGTACACCATACTCCTACACAGCAAGCCCATCGGCAACGCCTTCAACACCTACAACCAGCTCACCCTATTCCAGCACCGTTTCCACGCAACCTGCTACAACTTTTGTTTATTGGTATACCTTCTCCACATCTGCACCCTCGCCACCCATACCGCAGCCAACTGTCTACCAACCCAGCGTGCGTACATTCTTTACACGCCCCGAAGTGCGCTACATTGGCGCTACAGTCTTCGTGGCTTTTCTTGCCATTTGTGCGCTGGCGGTGTGGAAATTTTGTATGCCTACGCGCAGCGTTAGACTAAAGAATCGATATAGGACAGTACCCAGCTCCGAGGCGACCAGCTTGAGTCATAGTCCAACCACGTCACACTCTTCTATGGCATAGATGAGAAGGTTATGTAAGCTGCAAGATTCGTTAGTAGGTGAGAGCTGAAGCGAGATTAATTGGAGGGTGATGCTCATGCAGTTGAGTAGTGTGCACTGGCTCTTATTATGTGTATATTTAAAGGTTTTTAGTCAAGTTTAACTAATAAAGTTTGTTGCTAGTGACATTTTCATGAGGAAGGGGAGGGAAAAGAGGGATTTCTTTTATGAAAAAAAAATACAAATTTATAAAGTATGACTTTCTATATTAGACTCAGCAGAGTTTGTGGTAAGTTTCGCAAAGCAGTTTTTTAACACTGACTTTAG